AGCAGCAACAGCAGCAGCAACAGGAGGGATAGAAGTAGCAGTAGTACGGAACTAGAAATGGTATTGGTAGTGGTGGTAGCAGTGGCAGAAGTAGTATCAGTCGTTGTCGTCGTCGCTTTTCCTAGTTGCAGAAACAGTAGCAGAAGCAGTAGCAGTGGCAGCAGCAGCAGCAGAAGCAGCAGAAGCAGCAGCAGCAGTAGCAGTAAAGATGACAGAAGTACGTACACACTGCGCCCTAAACCCTAAACCCTAAACCCTAAACCCAAAACCCTGACACGCATCCATGTGGACCGGGAGACGAGGCACGTACAGTCAACTGAGGGAAGGTCTAAACACGTGGGGAGCAGGGGGCAAGCGAGACAAGAAGTGGGGACGGGGCACAACCATGTATATATCCATATTTATATCTTTAGATATCTCTGTGTATCTTTATATGTCTTGATATGTCTTTGTGTACCTTTATATGTATTTGTATGTCTTTTTATATCTTTATATGTCTTATATATCTTTGTATGTCTATATATATCTTGATATGTCTTCATGGATCTTTACTTATTATTTATTCATATACATACATATATATATATATATATATATATATATATTCGATTACGCGCACAAACGTCAGTGTGTGCACGTGCGGCTACACACATGCGTGTTGCACATGTGCATACGTTCCTTCCCTCCTTCTCACCTACCTGCCTGCCTGCCTGCCAACGACAGACATACATACATGACCCTTCCCCCCTATCCCATGGTATCCTTCCTGTGGAGTGGTGCCTGCTTCTTTGCTTCCACCCCCTCCCCCGTCTGTGGGGTGGTGCCTGTGGTGCTTGCGGCTGGTTTGGTTAAGCAGGAACACCGGCCCTCTCTCCAAGCTTAAGTCCAAGTGTTGTGCTGGCTCCAGCATGCTGCCAATGGGAAGCTGTAATCGTGGCTGACTCGTCGCATGCTGTGCATGTTGTAGTAACATTGGATTGGCTGGCTGAGCAGCTAGCAAGCCACGAGGAAGGCATGCAGCCATTTGTCAGTAGTCTTGTCATGTTTATTGCGATTGTTCCTACACGAGAGGCAGCTGCTATTCCTTTAGGTGACACCAACAACGTCCAATCCCAGAAACTACTGGTAGTTACTAGGGTTTAGGGTTTAGGGTTCTGGTAGTTTTACATGTTCCCAACCTCCGAACTACGAACACTGTCACGAGGATCCTGGCCCCAAAGCTGGATCTGACTGTTGTCGCAGACAGGCCCCTCAAGGGCCGCGGGCGCGGGGCGGGGGGGGACCCGGGATCGTTCATTCATACATGCATACGTACACGCAGGCATACACATACACACCTGCGAGTACCCGCCTACCTGCGTATATGCCTACTTACCTACCTACCTGCCCGCCTACCTACCTCGTGCCTATGTACATACATTGCATTCATACTTATCTGTGTACATGCAGAGCAGCAGAGAAACAGGCGGAAAGACAAACAGCCGGACAGACAGACAGACCGACGGACAGACAGCCAGCCAGCCAGGCAGGCAGGCAGGCGGGCAGACGGACAGACAGACATTTGACGCTTGGCATAGTCAGCGCTGCCGTGAGCATAACCCAGACACCACCATGCCGGCCTATGAATACCGGCGCATGTACACCCAGATACATGTAGAGACATACATGCGCACAGATGCATACACGAACACGAATGCATCTCTTCACGTGTAAAGGCACAAGCATATGGATGCACGCGCATCATCCATATGTGAAACAGTGCTTCATAGAAGTATGCAAACATCTTAGCTCCAGGCTCTCCATTCAGCTGAAGAAGCCTGGCAAAGTGAGAAGTTCAAAAAAATACTAGGATCTGCCAACTTCCATTATGACATTATGATTCTGCCTGCTGGCCAAATACATTTATGATTTATAGGTTTGCTTTCTTGCAAGAATCTGCCACCAAAGCTTGCCGCACCTCAGCTGCCAAGCCGTAACGCCCAGTGCATGGCTAGCCTCTTGCCTCCGGGCGCAACTGAAAGCCGAGAATGTGGGAGTTTGGGGACAGTGGCTTGGGGGCTTCAGGGGGCGCCCTTACCGAGACGAGGAGTTCTCAGCCTGACACTCAAAATACCAGATGATTTTGGTGCAGTGCTGCCACTAATACTGCAAGAGCACCCTCTTCCTCGTCAGCAGCAGCATAGCGAGTACTCAGCAGAAACACAATCGCTGAGACGTGAAAAGGAAGGCTCGAAAACCACAGCACTAGCAGCAGCATCATCAAGAGAGACTGCAACATGAACGACCGTCACAGTGGCAGCAGCAGCAGCAGCACAACAAATTACAAAACCCAGAGCAAAGCCTGAAATTACCGACGATATCCGTGAAAAAACACAGTCGCCATATCATCATTAGCAGCAGCTTGAGCCACAGCGTCAACAAGCATCATGGCAATGCAGGTGCTGCCCAAATCATTTGACCCTTTTGGGAGAAGGGCTCGCATAGGTAGGAACCGTAATAAGACCTGCAGCATACTACAACAAAGTGCAAAAGGGGACAGAGGCACTGAGTGAAGCCTACTAACCCGTGACCCCTTCACCGGCGTGCCTCACCATCAACATGGAGTCGTCCCGGCGAGCTCGCACCTCAAGGGAAGCGCCTGCGGGACGATGATTTCGGCGAATGACACCAGTGCTGATGATGACAAATTTTTTGGAAAAGTTAGGACGAAAACCAATACCCAGAGGTGGAAGAAGAGTGGTGGCATGGGAACGATGGCACAGACAGCGCGACAAGTATAGTGACAGCAGCGACTTGGCCGCCAGGGCCGAAACTGACTTAGTGGCTGGCGTCAGCACGGAGAGACAGGGTAGAGGGCTTCGGTCGATGAAGGTTTAGGGTAACAGATCTGCAGGGCGCGGGTTGAAGCTGTGGGGTATACTTCGGGTAGAGGCTGACATTCAAGAATTAAGCGCGAGAGCTGGGGCAGAGGCTTGGGGTCCCGGAAGTCGGAGACTAGGGCCCGGAATGCGCGAAATCTTCGGTCACCAAGAGGGCCAGCTACTGGGATCCAGTGCGACTTCTGTTCCCTAAACCCTAAACCCTAAACCCTACTTCTGGTCCGGGACTCCCGGCCTGACATCCCGGTCACGATGACGGTGATAGTATCATCCATGGTGTGAGTGGAAGAGCTCGCCATTCCGAATGGTGCTTGAGCCCGGACGGCTGAGGAACACGGGAAGAAGCAGAAGGCACTGCAGCTGAGCCACTCACCCAGACCGGCCCCGGAACCGATGGCGAGAAACTTGGCTTTGAGGTAACCCGGGATAAAAAAAGTATAAACTTCTATTTTATAATGGTTCCTTTAAGGAACAGGTCCAAAAAAAGTATTCAAGTATGGTACTCCAAAGCCCAGGAAGCTTGAATGAAGCATCACAGCACTGAAGCTGCGATACAAAAAGACAGCTGTGAATCAACGTGGCCGTCACATTTAGTGATTCAATAACAACTGTGACCCTACATTGATGACTAGCTATCCCAGCCCGGACACCCTAAACCCTAAATTGCCAAAGTACAGTCCAAAAAAGCCGCCATCTTGGACCCTAAACCCTACCTCACAGGTCGTGGGACTTAGTAAGCAGGATTACAATAAAGGTAACTGCACTTATATCTACTTATAACCCCAATTAAGGGACTTATAACCCTACTTACTAAGTCCCATGATCCTCCAAGTAAACCCCAAACCCCTAAACCC